CTTAAATATGTCAGATAATGTAAAGCTGAACACTGTGTGTGTGTGTGCGTGTGTGTGTATGCATGTATACACATATTAAATCTACAAATGTTGTCAAGAACAGTACTCAGTACTATACAGAAATAGTAATTTATTTCAGTGCTACTGCACTTGTTTTGACTTCACTGACCTCTAGAGCCATTTCATGCACATTAATAAAGACTATGAACCTCTTAGAAAACTTTATAATAAACAGAAACTTTGATATTTTTGTTTTCAAATAAATTCCTATACTATTTATTAAGCTAATGTCTCTAACCTTTAAACCCACCCTTCCATAATCCACTTTGTGGAGCTGGGATTTGAACTGGCAGCCACACTCTGTGCTGCCTTCCTGTTTGGCTCTTCCAAGAGCAGACAACAGGCTGAGAGTGGGAGGCTGGAAGAGCACAAAAGGGCTGCTTCACCCCGCTTGCTTTCTGAGTCTGTCTTTCTGCTTGTTCTCCCTGTGCACCCTCGAAACACTTTTTCATGCTGCAGTAGCAGATGATCCAGGAGCAGATGCCGATGCCAGTTTTTAGTTATTCCAGCGCGCAGAGAACCAATCCCAGGGTCCCTCCTCAGTGACGTAAGCACTAACTGGCTAGAGCAGGGTTCTCAAGGTTTGCTTCATGGGCAATTCCTTTGCGCACAGACTGAGATACCAGCACCAGCGCAACAGTGAGCCCATACAGCACTTCCTATAAACTTGAAGGTTTTATCATCTTAACCTCTTCTCTGTTTCCCCAGTGTGAGGGGAGGCTGCTTCCTGCAGTTCCCGCTTCCACAATACCTTACTTCAGTGTTCCGCTTTAGGATTTGCAGTTCTTCAATATCTAGTCATCAAGTCTTTATCAACTGATTCTCCAACAGGCTAAATGTTTTTTTTTTTTGTAGTGGGGTTTACAGATTTTTAAAATTTTACCAAAAGGAGCCTGTACTATTTCATCTTTTTCTGCATCCTTATAATCGTATTCGTTCACTTTTTCTTTGCTGTTTCAGCTACCATATTGGATTCCATAACTTTAAAGGATTAAATGCTTTTGTTTGTAATTCTTGACCCACATTGTTACAATCTTTAAAATAATTCTAACCCCAAATCTCTGTGCTGGGATAGCTGACTATATATAATAGTTTTCAATCATTTCCTTGTATTTTAGTACATTCAGTTATGTACAAACTTCTCCAGGCTCTGAAGTCATGGCTTTGAGTTAAGATGTTCCCAAGGGAACTATAGCTAGAAAAAGAGGGAAGGCACCAAGCACGGGAAAAAGAGGGGACAGTGATTTCTTTTTGTAAATAGAGAGATAGCAGGGTATTAGTGGCGACAAGGAAAGAACTGAAGGTGATTGTGACAGTGATGTCAGAGAGGGTGAACTATTCCTTGGTTATCTTTGTAAGTAAATGGAAAAGGAGGGCTTTAGGGCATGGCATTGTGCTTTATGACAGATGAGGACAAGATGATGCTTCCAGAATATCTAGACTGACCCAGACCTTTTAACATGGGACTAGCTGGAACTCATTTCAAGAAGATAGAACACTCAAGAAGGGTTAAGGACCTGTCCTCAAAGACTAAACAAATGAATTCAAACCCAAAGGAAAAAACACCTTCCAGATTCACTCTGCAAGCTTTCTAAAATGTTATTTAAAGGTAAAAAGCGAAGGAACACGATTACAGTCAGATCAATTCTGTGAAATACTTATAGAAAGAATTGGGATGAGTGAGGAGGAAGAGAAGGATTGCAAGATTTGTTACCTAAGGGGTATAATTATACCTGTAACATGTTTCCCAAGAATGTTTCAATCTTTAAGGATTCTGCTTCTGTGCTTTCAAACACCAGTGTAGATACAGTCTCATAAGTGTGTGATCCAGAGGAACTGTGAGATGTATCACTGATTCCCAACTGTCCTATTTTTATAGCTATCTATAGCTATGTAGTTGACAATAAACTATTTTATAAATGTCAGCCACTTCTCCCAAGTTTTAAATGGCTTGCTTTATACCTGTGAAACACTTAGAGAAGTTACTTTAATTTTTTAACCCTTAGTTGCAGCAATCAGAGAAAATTTGATTTTTTGTAAAACTTCTTCCGAAGAATGTTTTTTGTTTTTTAAGATTTTATTTATTTTTAGATAGAGGGGAAAGGGAAGGAGAAAGAGAGGGAGAGAAACATCAATGAGAGAAACAAGATTGTGGTTTCCTCTTGTGCACCCCCTACTGAGGACCTGGCCTGCAACCCAGGCATGTGCCCTCACTGGGAATTGAACTGGTGACCCTATGGTTCACAGGCTGGCACTCAATCCATTGAGCTGCACCAGCCAGGGCTTGAAGAATGTTTTAATTGAATATGGCAGCCTACTTCTTAAACTGGAACTTTGTAAGTAGGTAAAATAACATTTTTTTTGTTTTAAATTCATAAATGACAGTAGACTACTCAATCCATCTTGCAGACCTAGACTAGATTTCTAGGCACTCCAGTCCCTCTGTTCCACATAGGTGGAACCCCTCTGTGGGTACCCGTCTGGAGCAACCCAGTTGGAGGACCTTTTATTCCTTAATTGGTATAACTACAATAGAAGAAAAGTTCTGATGCTGAAAACAACCATTTCTCATTCATAAATGAAAATAGGGTATTCTCACTCAGCTACCACTAAATGGAAACACACTTACTGTGATAAGCCCAGAGAACCAAGGGCTGACCTAAATGGATGGAGGCAACCAGGAAGAACATATTGAAAAAGGTGACTTTAGAATGACAGGAAAAGAATTTAGCAATAGTAAAGGAGCAGAAAAGAATCTGACGAATGGAAGTAAGTTATATACATTTGTTTCATATGAGGTGAGTTGACAAATTATAGTAAGAATGTTTCAGCAAATGTGCCATCCTCTGGAGAAACAAAATATATTTAGAATAGTGCCTACTTCTGACAATTTTGATATGTTTTCATTCATTTATTCAGTAAAGATTTATTGAGCATCTATTACTGTCATTTGTTTTTGTTTTAGTTATTTAGCTGGGGAGTAGGTATGTCTATATAGATCAACAACATCTAATACTTCTTTAAATGAATATACTGAGTTCAAAGTTGCTTATCTTCTTTTCCCTCTCTTTTGAACATTGCTATGGCTCCCAGACCTATCTCATTGGTCTTTTCCACCCCGTTAAGTTGGCTGTTATGCCTATTTCACAGGAGGGAGTTTGATGATGCGCCCAAGCTCGCGCACCTAGAAACTGAACCCAGCTCTGTTTGATTCCCAAAGTCCTCCTAACTGTTGTACCAGCTGCCTGCCGGTTTTGGTAAAGTGATCATGGGTCACTGCCAGCAAGTTTACCTGAATAATCTATAGTATATAGTAATGAAAAATGAAGATTTTAAGTGGGCATTCAATAAAGACAGGAGACTGCCATTATTGAATTCAGAAGTGACAAAACAAAAACAATAATGGCAAAAGAGGATTCTAGACTTCTTTAATTAAAGATAGAAATTGGAAGCAAGTAGAAGTGTTTTTGTTTGTTTTCTAAAAGACATGCCAGCACCAGTCATAGCATGACATGGAACAGGGTTAGGTTCAAGGACATTTGAAGGAAGAGTCAACCAAAGTTGGAAGGTGAACGTGAGGAGGGAAGGTGATGGAAGAGTTAAAAATCATTCCTTAGTTGGCAAGCTTAGGAAACCAAGGATGGTAAACATACTGTGACTGATTTAAAGAAGTTGAATGAAGTGGTTCTTTTGAGTATGGTGAGAACATAAATTTGATATTCAATATTCATATAATCAGGAGCTGCACTGTATATTTAGAGTAAAATGCTATGGCATCCTCTCCAACTTTTATCTACCTCCAGCTGAAACTTTTTATCCCCCACCAGAACAAAAGACCAAAACACTTCTATAGGAAGAGATCATTTGGGAAGACTGGGCTATAAAGCCAATTGAACTTGGTGTTGATAGCTTTATGATGCTTTGGTTAAACCAGAGACTTATTTTTAGCAGCCGTGTACAAAGACTGTGAAGGCTGTTGTTGTCTCTTGTCATTGGTACATAAGTTAGATAACAGGGTCTTTCCTTCCTCCCTCCCCATTTTGGTTGTGGGTAAAATTCACAGCACATGTGCTTGTTTCACTGTGATTGATTTCTCAAGATACCGAATAATGATTTTAGTTAGGTAATTGACTCTGAAAAATAGAACAGACCTTAATTTGGGGTATAGTTTATGTAGATTTGTCCCTAACTGATCCTGATAAATATTTCCCCTTGAGTCCCCACTCTGTTCCAAGAATCATTTGTTCTGGCTTTATATTCAATAAATGAGTCACCAAAGTGTATCAGTACATAGTACACATCATTTATATATGGAAGTTTTCTACCAGTGGAGGCTGTTTTATGCTAGGCAAATATTTCCTTATTAATTCAATCCAAACAAGCTTCTCAAAATTATATATTTTTGTAAATGTGTGTGCATGTTTCCATCATTAACTTACAAAACTTTATTCCACTTTAAAAAATTAATTATATTTCTTCCTTTAAAAAATTAAATTGTCAGAATTTTTCCTTCTAACTCACTCATTTCTTGTCCCAAAGGAAAAATCAATTATCTCAATATTCTAAGGCCTATATTTATCACATACAACCTTCCTATACCTTCCTAACAAAAAACAAAAAAAAAATGAAGGAACAAACTCGAGAGAGAGAGAGAGAGAATAACAACTATAGGCACCAAGTCTAATTTGATTTCATAATAACAGGATAGAACATATTTTAACATATGTACAGCATTGCATGCAAGGCAGTACATCTTTAAGAGTATGAGTGGGCAACAGAAAAAATACAAATTTATTGAACATATTTTCTCACAAATATATCATATGGTTTCTTTGTAAAATTTTATGGCTTGTCACAGATATATGCTTCTTAAATGAGATTCTGTAAAAAAAGAAAAGGTATCAGCAGGAGTCACACTACAGCTGTCACTTCATACTTACAGCAACGGCCTCCAGGATCTGCTTAACAGCGTCTGCAGCATCTCGCTCACTGTAATATCCCTTTTCCACAATCCTAAAAATAAAAAATAAAAAACATAAAAAACAAAACAGGAAATGCTTCTCAGGCACGTGCATTCAATTGAGTGAATGCTAAAAGGGGTTAATTGTAAACGAATGTTAAAGATGCTGCAATAGGCTACATTACACCAAAAAAAAAAAAAATTTCCATAAACTGGCACTCTAGAAATCTTTGGGTTTATTTAGAAAAATTAAAGATATTTATTTTCTACTTATATTATATAAAGGAATGAAAATGAATAAACTTCAATCACTCATAAAATATAAGTAAATTAAAATAAAATTATTTATTTGGCTTAGACTGAAAGTGTTTATTCTTTTAGGACAAAAACTCTTTATTTTTAAACTTTGTATTTTGAATCACTTTAAACATATACCAAGTAGACAATATGCCATAAACCATACCATATTATTGCCACAGAGCTTCAAAAGCTATTAATTCACGACCAATGTAGTTTTATCTATCCAATTAATTACATCCCCTCCTTCCTTATACTTTGAAGCAAATATCACATATCATATAATTTTACTCATAAATATTTAAGATATCTAAATGATAAAGGGTCTTTTAAAATAATAACTACATCACTATCATATCTATAAATACAGTAATTTTTTAATATCTAAAATGTAGTGTTTCAAATTTCCAATAGTCTTGGACATGTTAAAATTTGTCATTTGTTTGAATCTGTGTCCAAATAAGGTCTCTCTCCCTCTCTGCCTTTCTCTTCGCTCCCTCTTTCCTTCATCTGGTTTTCTTTTCCAAATAAATGGCTCACTCTTTTTGCATAGATAAGGGCAAGTAATTTTTCTTTCAAGTTAAGGTCTTTTCTTTTTTAATTTCAAGAATGCTTTCCTAAATTAGAATGCTTTATGTTTATTTTCTTCCATTGCTTTAGTTTTCTTATTTGGTTTGTGAGGTTATACACACATAAGAGTTTTCAACTTTTGATTTACATTGCTCTTCTATGACTTTATTTATTTAAGTTTATTTTGCAATATTGAGTTATAGTTTTATCGATTTGTGGACACATCCTTCTGGCACACTTTCACTGCCTAAAGGAATCTTATTTTGTTTCGTATTTTCTGTGCTGTATTATTTTATATTGGAAGTAACTGAGACATCTCTCTGTTGCTGCCTATTTTTAAGCCAAATTGGTTTTCTTTTTTAAATTAAAATATAATTGACATACAATATTATATTAGTCTTAGGTGTACAAAATAGTGATTTGATATCATATTCATTATGATGAGATCACCACAATAAGTCTAGTAACCATTTGTCACTGTGCAGAGTAATTTCAATAATATTGACTGTTGTTCCTATGCTGTACGTTACATCCCTGTGACTTATTTTATGTTTTATAACGGGAGGTTTGTACCTTCATTCTTTTGACAGAGTGATGGGCCAGGTTATCTTTTCTAGTTTCATAGCCCTTGACCTTCTGTTTTGTTTGTTTATTTCATTAAACATTAAAAATACGACCTCATAATTTCTGAGATCTCTTCTACCTGGAACTTCATTCCCTTGCTTCTACCATCTCTACTTTGATTATTAGAGTCTCTTTCTAGCAGTGTCTCCTAAATATGGGGCTTTTCCCTCAAAGGGCTTCAGGTATTAATTTCAGGAGTTCACAGGGCCTTGAATGCATTAGTTGCTTCAGACCTCATAGTGGGCACAGTTTTTGCAGGTCTCAGAAATTTGGGGGACAAAAGCCCTCCCGATTTCAGCTGTTTTTCTTGTATTGGCCCAGTCTGCCTCCCAATAATTTGGAGATTTTAGAGATGAATGTTCTTGATTCTTAGGTATACCACATGTCTTCTTGCTTCCCTTTGCTCACTCTTTCAGAGAAACTAACACCACGTGACTCTTGGAACTGTCATTAGTTTGTCCTCATTCACATGTATTTTAGGTTTCATGGGGATACCTTGTCACCTAGTTTTGTTATATTGTCTGTGAGTTTTCAGTTTTTCTGTCCTAGTTTCTGTCTATTCTTAAGGGAATATTTGGGAAGAATAAAAAATTACTTTTTTTTGCTGTTTCTATCTTACTGGAATTTCAAGAGAAAAGATGTTATAGATAGTACTGTAGGTTGCCAATTTGCATAAGATGTTTTCAACTATAAAGAGTTTGTGGTAAAGATGTGTGGAGAAGGTCAATTCAAAATGTAAAAGAGACAAAACTTCAACAACTTTCACAATTTTGTACTAAATTTTTTAAATGTCAATCCATCAAAAAGCTTAATTATTTTTCTGCAAGTATCTTCCCTTTTTGGAAAAAATATTTTAGCAAGAAGTTATAAGTTCTAAAAGTAACTGGAGTTAAAAGTTGAATTGAAAATTTGTAAAATATTTTCACAATAGGGAATAAAGGTTGAGGAATGCAGAACAGACCAGAAATGACAAAAATAAGCCCTGGCTGGTATGGCTCAGTGGATTGAGTGCTGCCCTGAGAACCAAAGGGTCACTTGTTCGATTCCCAGTCAGGACACATGCTTAGGTTGTAGATTTGATCCTTGACCAGGCACGCACAGGAAACAACTGATCACTGTTTCTCTCTCACATCTATGTTTCTCACATCAATATTTTCCTCTCTCTCTTCCTCTGTTTTTGTTATTAACAAAACCATCATCATATATGTAATATATGTTACGTTAAGGTTTGTACACCAAAGGGTTTATTGATTGTGTTGGCAGAAATGTCTCTGAAGTAGACGTGTGGGGCAGGGGCGCAAAATGTGGGCACTTTCCCGGACTCATCTCGGTGTGAACTCTGCACACCACAGCTTGGCCCTATGATAACAATTCCACAGTTTCTCTCCCAGGCTCCTTCTTCTAAAATTTTAGTTCCCAGTTGACGTGTTCACCAGAGTGTCACAGAATTAGGTTTCTAGAACTCAGACACTCAATTTTAAGTATTTTGTAAGTTGAGCTGCCACCCAGGCCACCTGTGACTGACCAGAAAGATCAATAGCAGTGAACTTCTCAAGTTGCAAGTGCGGTTCATAACTTATAGCTTAGATAGTCAGTGAAGATATTAGTGACCAAGCAAAGGAAAATGAAGTTCAGTGATCTTTTTCTCTTCATTTCGGTAGCATGACTACAACAGATGTGTGGAGTCAATGCTTTTTGCAGGGTGTGGTGGCAAAATTCTTAGCTTCTCACTGGATTGTTGCTTTGACCACTCACAGAGTCCAGCTCCACGCCTTGCTCATAGCAGGCAGTTAATAAATATTTGTGCGATCAATACGAATTACCAAGTAAATGATGCCACAAAAATTTCAGACTGTGGACACCTGAACAACTCCTTTACTCATGATCCTTATCCTAGGCAAGAAAAGCATTGAACAGGGAAGTGATGCTCATCACAAGTACAAGGGGGACCCCCGAAAACCCTGGAACTCATTTATAAAAAATTGTGTATTTATTCTTACGTGTTTCAATTTCAATCACCTTCAAAGTGCTCTCCATTTGGTACAATACCCCTATTGGGATGTTTTTCCACTGCTCAAAACAGTTTTTGAACTCATTGATTTTGATGCATTTTAGTGATTCTGTTTTTTTGTTTGTTTGTTTCACCTCTTCCACATCCCTTTGAGGACTTTTGTCATCCAGGGAGATAAACAAAAAACAGTTGTTTGGGGTGACATAAGATGAATAGGGAGGGTGGGGCACCAGAGTCATGCCATTTTTAGCCAAAAACTGCTGAACACTCAGTACTGTGTGGGCAGGTGCACTTGTAAATCACCCATCATGAAATGGGCACATGCATTGAAAGAGCCTTAAAAAAACTTCACTGAAGCCAAACACAGCCTCTCACAATGCCAGCTGGTGCACTGACTGATACAGATGGGTTCTTAGAACACTCATCTAGCAGGGGGAACCTGTACTACAAGAAGCCTAACCTCCAGAAGATAATTCCAGGTTTTTTGGGTCCCTCCTTGTACATTGGCCACGGATCCAGTGGGAGAACAGGCACAGAGATGCTTCCCAAGGCCAAATGCAGAAGGTGGAAGGGCTACTGCTCGCCTCAGGAAGAAACTCAGTTACCTAGTTTCTAGATAAAATTGTAATTATATGAATCTTCTTGGGAACTTATTTTGGACAAAATCAAAGTGATTTAGATTCATCAAAATAGAATAGTATTTGTTCCAAGCAACACCAGTTCCTGCCCAAAAGTTAGCTAAAATTTCAAAAAAAAAACCTGCCAATGAAATTGAACCATGCATATACAGTCAAGGGTTTAGGTCTTCAATTTTTAGAAGCAATGAAATGTTCAATCCTGGTCATGTTTTCAGAGCTGTAAAAACACAGGGATAATTTTTGGTTGGTATTTTTGGCTTTTTATTTAAACATACTTATTGCTATATTTCTCTTCAGATTTAATAAGCTAATTTCCTTGTCATGCTTTGTAAAATAATAAGGAAGGCAGCTGCAATGCTACCAGCATCTTAAAATCGCTTCCAAAGGCCCAGGGCCACATAGTTTGTTGCTCTGCCACACAATTGCCCATAGTTCTAGGAGGGCTGGGCTAGAAGACTCAGACTGGGCTAACACCTAAAATCGCACCTAGGATTTTAATCACAACACTGACCCCAAATGCTGCCCTGGGACCCTGTTCCTACAGATCCCTCAGTCGCCAACCGGTCTAGCCAGCATCTGGAGGTCTGGGACAGCAGCACTACTGGGCATGTCTCCCTAGCTCCCAGGCTGTGACTCTCTGGCCCCAGCAGGCCTCCTCCTCCTTTCTGTGCCTCTCCCTTCACTGCTGGCTGCGTTGGCCCACATGCTCCCCTTCCCCACGGTGGGGCTCGTTTCCTTCCCATCATGTTAAAATGCAGGATGAGAAAACCCAGGCAATGCCTATTTCTCTCCATGGATCTGCTTTAAAATATGACTTTGGAGCATTTGCTTCTGTCACCTTAATTGCTGCAAATTGAATTGAGCATATCTCCAGCCATGCAGTTACCACAGGCAATGCAGCTGAAGAGCTCTA